CCTAAAATTCAATACCTTGTAAATTTGTGTGTAATACCTTTTAATACTTTTTAATGGCTTTAATTTTTGCTTATGTGATTTACTACCTTTTAATACTTTTTAAAACCCAGCGGACACCCTGCTTAAGAAGGACATTGCTGCCTTAGAAAAGGTGCAACAGAGGGCTACGAGAATGATGCCTGGTCTTAGAGGAATGTCATGAGGAGAGGATAGCTGAGCTGAATCTGTTTAGCCTCAAGCAACGGAAACTAAGGGGGGACATGATCCAGGTGTATAAGATTCTAACAGGTCTGGATGCTCTTCAGCCAAATGGCTATTTCAATATTAGTTTAAATACTAGAACTTATGGCCATAAGTGGAAATTAGCGGGAGAACATGAATGAATTTGAGAAAGCACTTCTTTACACAGCGTGTAGTTAGAGTATGGAACAGTCTTCCTGCTAGTGTAGCACAAGCTAAAACCCTGGGTTCCTTTAAATCTGTGCTAGATAAGATTTTAACAACTCTGAGATATTAGTTAAGTTCTCCCCAAAGGAGCTTGATAGGCCAAATGGCCTCCTCTCGTTTGTAAATTTCTTATGTTCTGATACATGTGTGTGTCTGTGTGTGTGTGTGTGTGTGTGTGTGTGTGTGTGTGTGAGGGTTAAGAGCTTCTCCTCCAGGCCTTATAGGAAAATGCCAGTATAAGCAGCAGCAGCAGGGGGCAAAGCCACACTAAATTTACACAGCTGCCGCAGCGCCTCTGGCGTCTGGCTACCAGGACCCTGTGCTCTTACTGCGATAAGTGTTTCGTCCTTCAGTCCACGGCTCTGGTGGGACGCTGGCTAAGCGGGTCAGACAGAATCACGGCGGCACAACAGGACACGGAAGTCTTACGAAATCACTGCTGAGCCGCATGACGGGGTCACATTGAAAATCGAAGGCCAGAGAGGTTAGAATGACTGCTGGTTTGCTCATCACTGTTACCCCGGTAATGTAACACGCATTTAATAGTGCCACCCACACAACATGACAGAAAGGTGCTACAAGGAACCAGCCTGAATGGTGACGTCCTGTCAGAGGGACTGGGCCTCTGGCCCAGAGTGTGCTTGCTCACCTGCAGAACATACTTCTTCCAGAGCGGCTCGTCCTCGCTGATGTCAAACTCGTTCCAGCCATGGTAGGCGCGACGGCGGGCCACCTCATCGTGGGAAAGGCCATACTGCAAGTCCGCCTAGGGGGGGCGCAAATCAGCAAGGAGAGGCCCGTTAGGACACGCTGGGCCTGAGGACTGGGCATGAGCAGACTGCAGATGGCCAAAGCCTTACACACACATGCCCCATCATGCTGCCTGATAAAGCATCATAAGAAAGCCAAAACTTGACAGGTAACGTTGTAGTAACGATTAAACGGTTGCAGCCATCACATCTCCTCTTTCAGGCGAATTTATTTAAGGCTGACCCGGAACGTCAACCATACTTAACACACGAAAATTGAATTTAGAATTTAATGAATTATATTCCCAAAAAAGGAGTTACCCAAATATTATATCCAGAAGACGATACTAATTAGGTTTACATTTAAGCTCTTAATGGTAACCCAGAAATAAATTACATTGACTATGTGGCAGTTTAAACAATCTTTAAGATATGGTTTAAGCTAATATGTGATTGTCTGCTGAACATATACAAAATTGTAGAGAATAATGACAATGACAATAATAATACTGATGACATTTGCAGTGTGCTATGATGGTGGACTAGGCCACACTTGCTCACCGTGACAGAAAAGTTACCACATCTTTGGCAGAGGCCATATGTATCCCCCCCCCCCCATTAGGTTTTCTCAGACAGCTGGGGGGGGGAGGGGGTAATGAAGCATGCTGTCAGGTCAATCACTGTGCTCACCAACTGGCTCTGCTCACCTGCAGGATGTAGGTGACCTCGTCCACCGGCAGCTCGCTGGCTTTTTTTGATGCTAGTACCGGTACCATTGTCTCATCTTCACTGTTGGGTTGGGCTTCAGCAAGCTGGACACACACACACAGACGTCATATAAGGTATGGTTTACTTTGTAAACCAGCCCTGTGCAGTGAAAACATCCAAAGCAATAATCTCCTGACAAAGCCTAGATCTGAAACCTTATTGTAATCACAATGTCAGCGTAACAGGCTCAGGACAGGATATTTTTAGAGCATAAAGAAAGATTAGGGTTCTTGCCTCAAGTACAGAGACAATTTGCCTATAAGCTTGATAGCTTGAAGTCTTTGCTCATTGTTCAAGCGTCCACTGACTATGTCACATAGTGCTGACCTGCTCGGTCCTGAGCACAGCTGAAGACAGAGACCGGAGACAGGCACTGGGGAGGGCAGCTCACGGACGACACACACACACACACACACACACACACACACACACACACACACACACCACACACACCACACACCACACACACCACACACACCCACACAGAGACACCCACACAGAGACACAGACACAGACACAGACACAGAGCGGGAGAGAATCACACACACAGAGCAAAGCAGAAAAAAAAGACACATAGAAACACATTCACACAGTGCTACATGTGTACAACTCATTGCACATTCATAACATCATCTGCCCCAGAACTACAAGGTCCCAGTTAATTATCCCTGACTGTATTGGCTGCATAAACTGATGACAATGAATAACATACACGATGACAGAAAATGGTAAGAAATAAAAGATCCACAACTAATGAAAAACACACACTAAATTATACTAGTTGTGTAAAACTTGTGAAATGCAATGTTGCATATCAAAAGCCAAGGTATCGTCTTTTTGTTCATTAAACATTAGCAAGTCAACTGGCCACCAAGGGGTACAAAAAGAACAATACGAAAAAAAAAAAACTACAAAAAAATGCATCTAAACAATGAAGTGGTCAGGAAGGGTCAAGCTATGACAATACTAAGTAGATGAGGATGATGAATTCTGCATCAAGTACATCTTTACGGACCTTCGGTTTTGAACTGACGGACGGAATCCGGACAAAAACGGAACTTCGCCAATCCCGGGTACTGGTACGAAAACAGCTTAAAAAAATTGGAGATATTTTTAATTACAATGATTATGCAGGGGTTAACTGGGCCAAAGTTTACAGTATTTCAACACCTGCAATATTGTGTATGAGCAACTTTTATGAAACGAGTGACAATCTTTGGAACGCTGTGTCACAATGCAAGTAACAAAAAAAACAACAATTGAGCGCCATTCATATAGCACATTTTCATTTCAAGTTGTTTTATGCCAATACTGTCAGACTTAACAGAAATACACACACACCCACACACACACACACACACACACACACATATACTTCTCTACATATATAAAGGACTAGTTATTAACACATCAGTTACAGGATATCAAAAATATGGCAGCAGATGGGAATCGTTACTTACTGGATAACTGATATTTACATTTGCTTCACAGGTGATAAATGCTTGCGTGACTACATGATCACAGATCACTGGATTTTTACAGAGCAAACTAGCTAGAGTCGTAAACTGGTCCTTAATGCCGACAGGTGTTGTACAGTTGAAAGAGCATTCAAAAGGGCCAGGGTATTTCACATACTACTAGGTGCACAGATCTTTCAGTGCTCTGCAAGGAGCACACTGCCAGTGATGGAGCTTCTATGGGGCACCTCACCTGCATGGTGCTGTATGACTCAGTGTGAAAAAGAAAACACATCGGCACACATCTGCCGCCCTCTACTTCCTAGCAGGGACAGAGATGGTGCAAAAAGCAGAGATTAAAACAGTCCGGAAGAACCAAAACGGAAGCTAAAGGAAACGTAATTGTGCGGTGCATACTGCTGCAGTAATGCTTCGCATACTGTTAGAGATGCAGAAAAGATAAAACATTAAAGTGCTTCTTTTCCAAATTACTCAGAAAGAGATGCATTAAAAATGGCACCGTTGTTTTTTTTTTAAATAACTAAGCAGAACTAATCAAAGTTCTCATCTAAGGGCGACTTTCCACTGCACTAAGCACCGGTACTTTTAGTACTTTCGTTTTTCACTGACTTCTGGTCGAGTTCCAGTACCTAAAGTTCCAGTACCAAAAGTGCCAAACCAGCTGAGGTACTTCTTTAGTACTTTGGGGTGGGACCTGAAATGCTGTCTTTGTCTACTGGTTATGCGAATAGCCTGCTGCTGAAATGAAATACAAACTCCACCTTGAAAACGGTAGCGAACTCAGAAAACAACAATACATGAACTAAAAAATATATTTTACACAGACACACACGCACACACTGATCTGGTCGGAAGAAGAGGTACAACAAAAAGATTTTGTTTAATATAGCAGGGTTGTGTTTAATATACCAGGATCATAGCAATGCGATTTTATTGTAATAAATATTGGAGTGTTTATAAAACAAAAAGGAGTTAATAAATTTCTCACAAAACCGACTAGGAGCGATTTAAACAAGGATGAAGATGATTATGATTGTCTCGGAGGAACACATGCAGCGTTCACGGCAAAGCAGCAGAGGTAATCTTTAAGCTGATTTTTAAACATATATTAGATAATCTATAAAAGGAATAATAATTAAAATTTCAAAGCTTGATACCTTTCTTTTTTCCTATGACAAACTGCGTAAAAATATTTTAACGAAACTTTAACCCCCTGTGCTATAACGTCCATACAGAATTGAAAGTAAGAAAAAACCTAATTTTAATATAGCTGAGAAGTGATGTAAGAATTGCATGTGCACAACATGCGATGTTGCTATTAATATCGCATGTCATGTAGCCCTATAATATAGTACAGCCATTTTTAGAATTCAGTACAAAATATCCAACCTCACGTTGTGATGTCATTCGGCACAGTTTTTATGCCAGTGGAAAACAAACATCATGCAGTACCGTACTTTTGGTACTTTCTCAAAGTACAGTACCTGGTGCAGTGGAAAAGTGCCCTAATTAAACATCAGAAAAGGTTCAAATCCCAGACCCATTATGGCCAGTAGGTCCTACAGTTTATGATTTATGCATCAATCACAAGGTGACTCCATGGCCTGATTAGCTCACAGAACTGGCTTCCATTAGAAAACAAGGATCTGTATGCGAGCAGAAACCCAGATGAGCAAATGGTTATGCAGTACAGAGGTGTGAAAATTTTGGGGCATGGGTTTTGCACTTTTTTGTCCTCTGTTATAAAAGTTACTGTTCCAAGTAATGCAGTCAATATTTAAAGGAGAGCAGGAGACATACAAAAAAGGCCTGTTTTTCCTGACTAAGACAAGCTTACTTTTAGTCAACGGTAATCAATAATTGCCTCCATATGTTATTGGCTGGGAGTCAATTACGACTATGGGGTCTGTTGCTGACCACCCTGTGATCCAGAGACATTCACACTGTGGTAGACATAACCTCCACTCCCCCAAGGCCCACGTTCCAGAGGCACTCCATGGCTTGCATGACATTACTGTCTTTGATACTTTAATAATATGATTATAACTAGATGTCTACTGTGGCTACAATTGGGGGAATCTGGCTCAAATAAAGCTCCAAAAGAACATGCCTTTGACAACTATAAACCATTCAATAACCAATTACAGTACCCGCTACCCAAAGTCTCAACTCTAAAAGCAGTCAAAACAGACCTTCAACCATCCAGCTCGACAGCTATATGGAAGTACCTTCTGTGTAAAACAGGTTAATTTACAGCTACCTTAACATGTGCTAATTGACTTTCACATCAATAATATGATATTTATCATACCCTCCAAATCTACTTTAGTGATTACACAGGACTATCCCTGAGGCTGTATGTGACCTGCTTGGATTTTCAGTGAAGCTAGGAAAGTCAACAGTAAATCGTACCTTATTACATAAAACAAAGGCCTCTGTTAAACAAAGAAAAAAAAACAAAAACAATGTGAATGAAAGTAACGAGAATCCCTGTTCTTGGTAATATTCTGTTTGAGTTTCTACAAACACACCCCTGTTTGTTTTAAAAGACCCAAGCTGGGTTCTCTCACATAACATAGCAAACACCTTCTATTTCCTCCATCACACACCTCCTTGCCTTTCACCTTCCATCACCCTTCGCTCCATGTGAACCGAGGGGCCAAATGGAGATGTCTGGTTATCAGTAACTCTTACGCGTCTTGGAGCCTCAAAGAAAACCCTCAAGGATGAAAAGGCTACCAGGCAGAAGCCAGGAGCTGATTGCTCCTCCCTGGTGCCTCTAAATGCACTCTGAAGTGTTTCAGCTGATGTAGGGCCCTCAAAATCCAGCGACTTATCATAACGGAATTAGAGGTGACACGCATAAAATCTGCTTTCCCCATAAAGAGGAGGAGGGGGAATGCATTTCCCCATTGCTTGTGGTGCTTGGCTGATTTGTGGTAAACAGCTTCTCAGTGGCACTTCCTGAAGTTTCACAGCCAGTGTCACCACAGCTTTGAGTGGGAATCCAACAGACCTCCTCCCGTGCATGCAGGAGCCCCCTAATCAAGGATGACAAGAGCTTAAAGTGGGATGGAAATTTAAAGAATCTTGCACTGCTTTCTGAGCTGGGGATGATTTGTGTTTGAGGAAAAATTTTACACAAATGTTGCTGAAATATTCCATGTAAGATTTTTGAATGAATATATTATGAAGCTACAAATGTCATGTTACTACAAGCAAAGTCCAAAGGCACACACTTTACTGCATCCACCATTTCCACAAGCTTAAGGATGGCAAGGCCTAAAGGAAAATCATTTTATCCAATGTTTTTTTCCCCAAAAATGATACTCCATGGGGTCACTATTATACACAAGCACAAACATACATGCCCTGTTGCGGCTCATTCGCAAATATAGTGACTTTTTGGTCACCATCTGAACAGCCGTCAATCATGGCAGTCTGTGACCCAACATGGGACTCGCTACACTGCCACAATACAAACACTTACCCAGAGCGATTTCTCATCTTAACGTAACGTTGTACCCACTTCTCATGGGAGGTGTCTGTTGGGAAAAGCTGCGCGT